AAGAGGAAAGGGAGAGAGGGAGAGGAGAGGGAGAGGGAGAGAGATTGTAGCCCAGTACCCCTCTCTCTGAAGACAGCAGAGTGGCTAAGCTTCTGGCCCCAATCTACTGCTTCACCTCCTGGCAGGAATTAAAGTCCCCCTTGGAGAAGGATGGAGGAGAGGAGGCTAGAGATGTCTGTTCTGCCTCCCTTCAAGCCACAGAAACACATCCCTGACCTATATGTGAGAGACAGCTTCACTACAGTATTCTTATTCTTGCTATTTCTATTGTTTTATCCCTAAAGAGGCAACTTGTTAGAATGTGTGCTTTCATGACCTTGGGCAAGTAATCAACCTGTCTGGACTTCAGTTTCCTCATCTGTAAAGTGATGAGGTTGGGCTAGGTGACCTCCAAGTTTCTTTCCAGCTCTAAATCTATGAAACCAAACTAGAAACATGCTTGATAGTACTGAGGAAATGGCAAATCTGATGATATTCCACATAATGCTAATAGTAATTAGATCAATAAGTTCTATCTTCCTTTGGAAACCATCTATATATACCAATAAAACACTATAGGAGACAGAAAGGTATAGATAATCCTACAAATATAATCCATAAGAAAGAAATCACTCAACAATGCAACATTTAGCTTTAAAGATGTTTCAAACTCAAGGCCCCATAGAGTGTAAAGACTTGGCTAGATATGACAACATGCCTACAGTTCCATCTTTTGGGGGGAAGGGTTGTTACTTCTCAGAGCGCCAGAGTGATAAACCTAACAGAACAGAATTACAGATTTCCTGTATTTTATGCATTTGGAAAACAATTTGAACACTAAAAATAGTGTGGCACTTAGCATGCTCTAAGGACCATTTGAACATTACTTCCACAAAATACATCGTTTCTGACAGTGGTAAATATTGGGGGGAAATGCTGTTAATGTTCTGAAATATTGGGTGCCATTTAATAAGTCTCAGAGCTCTTATAAAAAATTATGTATATATGGATATGTATTGATATGTATGTAGGTTGGTATATATATATGGATATGTATGTAGGTTGGTGTATATATATATATATATGATACGCATGTGTGTATATGCGTGTGTGTGTATATATATAATGTATATATGTGTATATATATATGTGTGTGTGTGTGTGTGTGTGTGTGTGCGTGTGTGTATTTCTCTTCCATTATCCTCACCCTGTCCCATCTAATAAAATGTAAAAGTACAGGTTAATCTCACTGACTATTGAGTAAATACCCCAATTTCCTATGTAAGGCAATCCTGCAATTAAAGGGAGTGAGGGGCTGATGTGGTTAGAGCTAAAGCTCTTGTGCCCCTTTGTCCATCCACCAGGCACAGAAGGGAAAATTCTATTCAATGCCTATTACGATGGTATAATGGAAGAAGCACTAGCTTGGAAGTCAAAGGATGTTGGTTCAAATGCCGCTATTACTACCTGTGTGACCTGTGGCAAGGCATCTAACCAACTTTTGCCTCAGTTTCCTCATCTGTAAATTGAAAAAGTCAGACCAGATGGCTTCTGAGGTCCCTTCCACCTGTAGCTTTGTGATCCTGCACTGAGTTGGGTCGAATCACACTGACTGAGAAATCACTGAGACATCACTCCATTTGGCAGTTCTGCTTAACTGTTTTCAGGGAATGTATTTTTTTTGCAGGATTTGGATATTAGTTGGGAAATGTCTGTTGTGTCGAAATTAAATTTATCATTTAAAAAAAGGAAATACTCTATTTGTTTTTAGTATTCTGAATCTTTAAAAATAATGGTACTGGCAGCTAATAACATTAACCTGGGATAATGCAAAACAGCATCTCTGGGGTCCAGTATTTGTGGTTCTATTGCCCCCTTGTGGCTGTTCTGAAACTAGATGACTATAACTAACCCCTCAGTAAGCCCAGGAAATTGAATTTTATTTCAGCTTCTTATGAATGTGTGTTCTGGTTGTTGGTTATAATTATCCCTCTGCTTTTCCAAGGATCCAAAAGTATACTCAACTGTATAGAATCATACAGAAAAGAAACCATAATAAGACAAACAAAATTTTATTTTAAAAAAATTTGAGTTGTGTAGCTCATTTTAATATTGTACGTTTAACTGTAATCAAGGCACCAAATCAACCAATCTATGTGTCTTTTTGCTTAATCCAGAATATAATGTCCCTGGGAAGGAATGTGTTCATTGAGGTTTTGGTACAGGACTTTCAGTATTCAGGCTCCTCAGTTCTTGCTAATTATACTGAGACAAATTTCCCTAATGCATTGATTGAAACAAGGGAGTGAATGAGTGAGGCCAATCATGCAAAGCAGCACTAACCCACAGGCCCCAGGCCAAAATAAATAAATAAACATCAAAGAATTATGCTGTGGGCAAGGTGTTGTTGGGTTTGGTTTTTTTTTTAATTAGCAAAAATGGAAACTATCCTAGAAAAATTAGTGCTATATTTCGGTAGGCTTCATTTCTGACACTGGTAAATATCAGAAAAGAGTATTGGAAATGTTAGAATCAATTTTTTAAAAAGACTGAAAGTGGAAAGATTTTTTTCCCCTGCTTGTTATGCTGTCAATATCCATAGATGTACCTGTCTATCCCAGCCAAAGGCTTGGGGTTAAGATGCACAAATTCCTGCCATGCTCACTGCTGACCTAACTTTGTTCCCTACTTCCAAATTCCCAGGCATGGGAGACTCTGAGAATGTATAGGATTAAGCATATTGAACCTTTTTAGTGGATTCATTTACACCTATCATCAAATTATTTAGCAGATTGGTTATTAGATAAGAAGGACCTGAAGAAATGGTACAAAAAGTGAAAGCATGTGAATAAAGGAAGGTGATTGGGAAGTTTAGAGAACAGGATGCTGTCAGGGAAAGCAAGCTCCATAGTATACCTTAGTCAGAAGCGTTGGAGCCGCACAGGTCTGCTCAGGACATTGTTGTTGTCCAGTCATTTCCAACACTTCGTGACCCCATTTGGGTCAGTATCTTGGCAAAGATACTGGAGTGGTTTGCCATTTCCTTCTCCAGCTCATTTTACAGATGAGGAAACTGAGGCAACAGAGTTAAGTAACTTGACCAGGGTTACACAGCTAGTAAGTGTCTGAGTCCACTGCCCTGCCTAGCTGATTAGGTTACTCCCCTGCCTGCTAAAGAATCTTCCACCTCCAGAGAAAGAACCGATGGAGTGTGAATGCATATCAAAGCATATTGTTTTTCACTTTCTGTATTTTTTTCATGGTTTTTTTCTTTTGTAGGTCTATGTCTTCTTTCTATATGGACTAATATGGAAATACGTTTTTCATGCTTGCACATACATAACCTATATCAAACTGCTTATCATCTTAGGGAAGGGGGAGGGAAGGGAGGAAGGGAAAAAATTTGGAACTAAAAAAAAAATTTTAATGAATGTTAAAAATTGTCTTTACATGTAATTGGAAAAAATAAAATACTATTAAAAAAAGACTTGAGGTAGGAAGGCCAATTAGTAGGCCATTATAACCAATCCGATAGATGTGAGGTGGTACTTCAGAGTTGTTTTAATTTGATTTTTCCAATTAATAGTGATTTAGAAAATTTTTTCATATGACTATAGGTAGCTTTGATTTCTTCATCTGAAAACTACTTGTTCATATCCTTTGACCATTTATCAATGACTTGCATTCTTAGAAATTTGACTTAGTTCTTGAGAAATGAGGCCTTCATCAGAGAAACTTCAGATAAGAAATTTTCCAGTTATAATTACTATGTATTTCCTTCCATCCTATTTTCCCTGTTTTTCCTTCCTTTTCCTTTTACCCAGTCCCTCCTCAAAACTGTTTTGCTTCCGACCACCACCTCCCCCCACCCCCACCCCCATCCGCCTCCCTTCTATCAGTCCCCACTCCCCTCTCTTATCTGCTTTCCCTCCTGCTTCCTGGGTGAGGAAGATAGGATAAGATAGATTTCTCTACCAAATTGAGTGTGTATGTTATTCCTTCTTTGAGTTGATTCCAATGAAAGCTGTTGATGTTTGTCCTTCATTCTCAGTTCTAATGAAAGCTGTTGTTTGTCCTTCATTCTCAAAGAGCACCATGATGTCAGGGAGGTGATGCCACGACTTAACAAGGTATGTGAAGGCCTTGCCTCTAGGAAACAAAGCTAAAGCCTCCAGGCTTTAAGCTACAAGAGAGATGAATGATACTACTCTTCCCATTCAGGGAATTCTTCAAGTGAGAAATTCAGCTAAAGCGAAAAAGACAGAAGTCAAGATAATACACTTCGATTTCTGTACATCTCTTAGATATTACATACTTAGTGGAACCATGCCAACCTAGCACATGTGAGACCAGAGAGGAGCAATACCAAGCAGAAACTACACACTTATTAGAGACCACAGACCAGTGAGAAGCAAGACCAACTGGAACAAGTATGATGACCCCATGAGGCAGCAGGGATACAGCAGGGACCCCAGTTATGTAAGTTCCCTACTTGCAGGTAGGGAGTACCCCCACATATTACAATTATAAGTTCCTAGAGGAGAGCACACTGGGTCATGTATATCTCAAACCCATAACATAGGGAATGGGGCAAGTGATGGGCATTCAATAAGCATTTGTTGGCCTGATTCAATTTTCAGGGTAAATGGGACCTCAGTAATCTGCAAAAGTTAATACTCCATTAAAATGCTCAGGTAGGTGGCTCAGTGGATAGAGAGCTGGGCCTAGAATCATGAAGACTCTACTATGACCTCAGTCACTTCCTAGCTGTGTGACCCTGGGCAAGTCATTGAACCCTGTTTGCCTCAGTCTCTTCATCTGTAAAATGAGCTGGAGAAGGAAATGGCAAACCATTCCAGTATCTTTGCCAAGAAATAAGGTCACAAAGAGTTGGACACAACTGAAATGACTGTCCACAAAAATAAAAGTGCTCAAAATTCCCAGGAAGTAGTTTGTGTGCTGGGAAAATGTAGTGGAATTGTATTTGTTGTATATAGTTACAAAGATACACATATTTTCATTGCTTCACATTTATTAGCTTCACTTACTATGAAATACAAACTCTTACAGTAAACAATTCTAAAGATAACATGCCAGTTTCTGTAAACACTTCTGTTGGAAAGTCCTTCCAGGATAAGACCAACAGGGTTGACTAAGCAGTAGGTGCCTGGTGATGACTAGGCCTTGGATAGACAATTAAGTTGTTTCCACCATACTTCCCCTCCCAAGTGTGGTTTAGACTAGAACATTACTATTACTTCCTCATAACTCTCAAAGTGAAACAAAGCATGGTTAATTCCCCTCCCTGGGAACTCCTGAAAACCCTGAAATACAAACTATTCAAACACATCCCAGAAATGGATAACTGAATATAGTCATTGCATTAGGAAATGTCTTATTCTACAGGCTCTTGGTGATGTCCTTCCATCTAATTCATCAAATACTTTCTTTTCTTCACTTCTGTTGGGGTGAAATGAAGTGTAATAAACAATAAGAAAAAGAATTCCAAGCAGAAGAGCCCCAACTATGATGATGGTGACAGCTCTGAAGAAGTATTGATGTTCGTCAGGTGGCATGCAGAACCAAAACATAGCCAAGATTCCCAATGTGACCAGCACCCTCATAATATAATAAGCAGACATAGGGAGTTTTGTATTTTCTCCTTTAACATTAAAAAAAGTAAAAATAAGAATGAATCCAACAACTATTCTGTATAAAATTTCCATACCTTTGGAGGTACAAAATGTAGTTTTCTGTTTAAAAGCCCATGTTATGCCTGACAACCAAAAGATAAACAGCAGAATTAAGCCCAAATTAACATTTAGCACAGTTAAAAGAGAGACACTGAGTACCCAAGATACAAATGTTAATAGCTTATATAGGAGGTACATCAATCTGGGACATGCTCCATTGAGGAGCTTTTTATCAGGTAAAGATTTTCTTAGGGTGATGTGATAATCAACGGTTGACCAGGAAATAGCACAGCAAGAGATCACAACAGCAGCAACTAAAAGATAAAAACAAAACAAAATAAATTCTCACCATGGAAATGTCATAATCTTCATTCATTCAACTAATATCATATTGAGTCCCTACTACGTGCAAGACACTATGCTAGGCACTGCGAAGGATACAAGAATAAATATGGCAGACAGTTCCTGTTTACCTTGAGGCAATTAGGAAGAGCACTGGACCTGGAGTCAGAAAGATCTGAGTTCACAACTGGTCTCAGTCACTTACTACCTGTGTGACTCTGGACAAGTCACTTGACTTGTCTGCCTCAGTTTCCTCAACTATAAAATGGGAAGAAGAATAATATCATCTACCTCCCATGGTAGTTGTGAGGATCAAATGAGATAATATTCATAAAAAACTTAGCACAGTGCCTGACACAGTAAACACTTAATAAAATGCATGTTCTTTCCCTTGCAAGCTACATGGAGATACCTGAATTATATGGCTTTCTCTTGAAGTTCCTAAGTTGTTTCTATTTCATTACAAAAAAAAATTTTGGCAGCATAATACTTATAATTACTTATCCAGATTCCAGTAATTTCCATTGGATATGATTTTCTTGAACACACAGTCATCCAAATGAAGGCTTTTTTGGGGTGTCATGGACCCACTTTGGCAGTAAGTCAAACCTCAAGATCGCCTTCTCAGAGTTATGTTCTAACCCCATAAAACAAAATACATAGGATTATTAAGGAAACTAATTATATCAAAATACAGTTATCAAAATATTTTTAAAACAAGGTGATGGACCCCAGGTTAAGAACCCCTGATTTAGAATTACTATCTTTAACTTCAGTATCGCCTTTGATCATTTCCTTCCCCCACATGTCAAATCAGTTGCTAGAGCTTTGGGTTCTTCCTCAGTGCTCTCTCATGCACATTTGTCCCTTCATTTAGGCCCTCATTTTCTCACCTAGACATTTGACACCTGATGGATCCATGATTTCATCAGTGGGGAATTCCCACCCCTCTACTAATCCACATTGAAACCGCTCCATTTTTTCTCATTGTATACAATTCCTATTCATATATTTCCATCCAAATGTGTATCAATGTACTACTTAAGCTATTCATCTGCTCTATGTCTCACTACATGAACTGAACAGCCCACCTCCTCTATTGATTATACATATCCTTTGTTTTTCCTCATTTGCGAAATGAGACTGTTGGACTGGCCAACCTCTACAGGGCTCTATATCTATAATTAATAATTTTTTTCATGTCACTTATATTCAAGCCATCATTAGCCAGATACTGCAACCTACTTGATACTACCATGTAGCTTCCCACTGTCCTTCAGTTACATGTAATTTTGATTCCTTTAAGATCAAGGTGTCCCAGGACTCACAGCCATGTGGCACCACTGGGAGAATACTAGTATGAACTTTTGCCAGACCAAGGAATTTGGAATCACTGGAAGCACTGTATAATTCACAAATGTAATGTTGCTTCCCATTCATCTGCGTGTCTTCCCAAGGGCAGTATTAGTTCTTTGACTGCTTTCTTTTTCCACTGCAGGTGGTTAGACTAATCTATTATGGTTTTCACTAAAAGGTTTTGTAATATTCCAGTACAATGTTATCTCTCCATCACAAGAAATGGAAACTCTTGCTGCCTAAACAAAACTCTTTTTTCATCTGGGGAGAATTTCCCATGACAATGGCAAACACTTTTGGTGAGCATAGGCCTCTCCCCTCATTTCACCCCTTCAGTACTCAGCAGATTCCTGAACAGAATTACTTCCATCATCCAAACAATAATAACAATAATAACAACAACAATTCACATTTATCCCTATTGTACTTTTAGGTTCACAAAATGCTTTCCTCTCACCAGTCCTGTAAGATGAGAAGTACAAGCATTAGGATGTCCATGTTATATACAAGGCAAAATCTTATGCGACAAAGAAGGATGAAAGGGGGAAAAAAGGGCTAGAGAAAACTTGGTATGAAGATAAACTAAACCAGATCATCCTCAAAGCAACTGGGAGAAAAACGAGGGGCAAACACAAAGAAAAAAAGGAACAGATCCATCAGCATTTTTATAAGAGAATTTACTTGAGATCCTTAAAAAAGAGGTTTGTTTTTGCCTTTCTTTGTATCCCCAGTGTTAGGCCAATGCCTATAAGTTGTTAAGTGCTAAATAAATGCTTGCTGACAACTTAAGTAGGAAGAAGGTAGCAGACCATTAATTCCATGTGACTAAAATTGATGGAACTCCTCATTACCCACAGAATCAAAATTACAAGTGACTCAAAGGGAAAGGAGAGATATGCAATAGATATAAGACCATAGATGGTGCCTTGAACACAAGTGACATTGAAGATGACACTCAGAAAACATATGATGGAAAAGTAGGTGGCCTGAGCACATACACATAGCAAAAAAAAAAATGACATACACCCATCGGAGAATTATTGCCCTAGTACTTGTAGAAGGCCTCCAGACATAGGAGAGATCATAATTCCATAGGTAACACCTTCTGTGAATGATATGCAGAGCACAGACAAGAATTGTATAGGGTAAGATGGCATGATGGGTGGCTTATGATCTGTCCCACTGGATGGAAGGCCCATGTCAATGACTCATTGAAGTATTTCAATATTAAAGATGAGGAAACAGGCTCAAAAAGTTTCACTGAGTTGCCCAATGTTATATACCAAAGCAAGTGTCTGGGACTCAAGTGGGATTCAAACACAGGCTTCCAGACTCATCATCTAGTGTTATTCTCAGTACACTTCACTGCCTAAAGTACTATAACAACCTCTTAACTGGTATTCCCCTTTCTACACTTTAATCCCTTTAATATAACCCTCAAACCACTGTGCAATATAGAATACTGCCTTATCACGTCATTCCCCTGCTCAAAAATGCCTCCTCTTGGCATGTAAAGCCCTTCAACAACAAACCCTGACATACCTTTCCAGCTTCATCCCACAGGACTCCCTTCCATAGACTCAGTGTTCTGGCCAAAGTAGATTGCCCTCTGTCCCCCATTCTAGGGCTGCCTTCTCCTCACTTTGCTTCTCCCTTGGTCTACGTCATTCCTCATGCGTCAAGGACACACAACTATTGGCTGCAGGGGTCCTGGGACCCCTCATGCTGGCACACTGGAGAGAATCAGAAAGCATTCAGCAGTTGTCAAGGCTGTAGTTGTCAGTGTCCTGATATTACGTGGTCATTACCACTCTCCCCTCTGACACACATTGGTGCCTAAGGCCTCAAGAGGCTAAAAGGATATTCCAATGGATACGGCCTTCACAGAGTAGTACAAACAATCAGGGTACCCAGAGATAGCTGTCTAGCTAACTAGAATCCAAAGAGAGGCACAGTTTGCCAAAAAAGGATATTGCCTGGTTCGTTTTCTTCTCCTGTACAACCACAGTTTAAAGGTGGGCTTAGGAATGCTAGTACAGAAATCACAGCTCCCCCTGCTTTTGTTTTCTTTTTTAATACTATCTATAAAAAGTGGGAAAGAGGCTTATGCCTCATAAAGGTTATTTCCAAATGCTAATAGCTTCCTAATTCTACAGTTCAATTGTCCTGCCTCTTCCTGTCAACAAGCAATCACAACTTCACAATGACAAGTTTAGGGGACCCCTTAAAACTTTCATTGAGCCCACCCCATCATTTTTGCATGCTGAAGTCCCTCTCTTCTTTGAAGGCCCAACTCCGATGAAACATCTTCCATGAAGTATTCCCTGACACTCCACTCCCTAAGCTAAAATTGATCTTTTCCACTTTAAATTTCTTAGGGTACTTTGCCTGGATCTCTCTTTTGTCCTTAACATATTCTCTCCTAAAGTAAAGTCATTTAGGCACATTATATTGCAAATTTCTTAAGAGTAAAGTGTATATTATAACCTGTGTGTTCCTAACACTTAGCATACTGCTTAAACATCAGCGCTAAATAAATGTCTGTTGAATTAAAGTGAATTGAACTGAAATGAAATGAATTAGGTCTTTTTTTTTTAATTGAAGGAACAGTAGATATTAGGGCCTATGAGTTATTTTCCCAGCTCTCTTAATTTGTTCTTTCACAAAGTCTTACTCTAATGCTTCATCATTGAGTGGAGGAGACCCTATGTTCTCAAAGCTATGTTAATGGAGCACAAGCTTTGGCAGGTTTGACCATACTGGAATGGCTTCAAGTACCTTCTCAATAACAAACTGAATCTGTTTTCTGAGGTGAAGTACAGAAGGGATAATCACTATATTTCATTTACTATTTCTGTGTTTCCCTAATATAGCCTTCAAACCACCACCTGCATGACCTAGAGGACTGTTTTGAGCTAAAAAAATAACCTTCAGTATTGCCCCATTTTCTACTTCTTTACCAAGTAAAAACATAGTAAACCCAATACTGGTTTAGTCTGTAAAGTCATTTGTAAAATCTTAAAGAATTCTCTAACAGATTAATGTTCAAAGAAAATAGGTAGTCTTCAAAAGATTTGCAAAGTATAAATAACTATGTGAAAAAATGCTATAAATCACTAATAGTAAGAAATATGCAAGTTAGAACATCCTTTAAAACTTTCACCTCACACAATGCAAATTGTCAAAGAAGAAATAAGAAAAAGCGCCTGTGGCTTGGTGCAATGGAAAGATTCACACCCAGCTGGTAGAGCTATGGGAATGGTCTGACTATTTAGATTTCAATTTGTAATTTTACAAGGGTCTATACCCTTTAACCCATGAATATTACTACTGAAAACACACTCCAAAAAAGACAAAGACAGAAAAAAGATCCAATATATACCCAAATATTCATAGCAACATTCCTTGTGATAACAGATAACTGGAAACAAAGTGGGCACCGATCAATTGGGGAATAGCTAGTATTTAAATGCATTTTAGTACATATGAATGTAATTGAATATTATTGGACAATCAGAAATTACAACTACTAGTAATTCCAAGAAATATGGAAAGGTTTATATGAACTAATTCTATTAAATAAGCAGCACCAAGAAAATAATATATACAAAATGTAAATTAAAAGATCATCAGAATATAATAGAACTCTGAGTACTGGGGAAGAGATGGCTTGCAGAATGATGATCTTGGAAAAAAAATAATAAAACAAACTTCCTTCCTCATGGCAGAGAGGGCGGAGAATATTAAGGCAGAATATTGTATATACTATCAGACAAGGTACCTATGTAAAATGTTTTTTTATTGGTTTTCATTATCACAAAGTAGGGTTCAATTTTAGGGTGGGGTAGAAAATGACTTCAACATAAATAAACAGCTAAAAGCAACAATTAAAAAAGAGAGATAAAATGAAAACTTACAGAGAATAGTAAAAGATTATGCACAGTTAGTTATCACCTCATAAAATAGAAAAACAGTGAAGAGTAAAACCAGTTTAAAGAACAATTAAAGTATACAAATCCATTTTACAGACAATTAAGGATGAAATTAGAAGGACAACAAATAGAGGGGAAAAGATGGAAAAGATCTGCAAATGAACCCTTTTCCAACAAACTCTTTTGACCATCAAGGCAGTGGAGGCATTATACTTAGACTCTAACATCACATTATCAAAATGTGCTTGTAAAGAAGACAGAAATGGCATTAAAGGGAACAAAGGTGGAAAAAGAGGCTAGATTAAGACTCATGTGGGAAGTATCTAGCACAGTAGAATATGCCAAAAGACTGGGAAAATTCTCAAATCTTACAACTATCAAAAAAAATGACTGGGGCAGCTAGGTGGCACAGTGGGTAGAGCACTGGCCCTGGAGTCAGAAGGATGTGAGTTCAAATCCGGCCTCAAACACTTGACACTTACTAGCTGTGTGACCCTGGGCAAGCCACTTAACCCCACTGCCTAGCAAAATAAGTAAATAATAATAATAATAATAATAATAACCAAGAGAACATCAACAACTATTAACCAAGTCTACTTTCCCATACACACAAAATTTTTGTGACAATATATACACATGGGGGACATCCTTTATAAGAAAATTAGAAAGAACAGGCAAGTTTTATAAGCAATATTCTGCAATAAACCACATCTTTATCATTATATAACTAAAAGATATCTATATCTTTATTCTCTGGAATAAAGCAGACCAAAACACCACCTTAAAGGTTCTCTTCCAATAAAGTGTCTCCTGGGCATAATTAAAATTGTACAACATTCCTTGAAAGGACAACAACAAAGGAAACATGTTTGAAAACAAATCTGATCATTAATACCAGGTGGGGTACAAAACTGAAGAAGTGTTTGCCACTGCCATGGAGAAAATCCAGCACAGAATGCAGGTTGAAGGGGCATTTGTGATATATGGTAAGGTCCTCCAGATGCTTCTAGGTGTATATGATCTTGTACTGGTTGTACAAAACATGCAAAATCACAAAGGCTCCTGGAATAGACGTATAACTCAAAAAGTTTGACCTAACTACCCACAAAGGAAAAAAGGAGATTAAGAATGCCTATTGCCTGGCCTCAGACACTTGACACTTAATAGCTATGTGACCCTGGGCAAGTCACTTAATCCCTACTGTCTCTCAAAAAAAAAAAAAAAGAACACCTATTGCCAAGTCCAGGGGAATGATTTTTACTATATGGCCAACCTACACAGCTTATCTATCAATAAAGATATTTTAGCCCTTCACTAGGGGTGAACAGGTTAGGCCATGAATTAAGTAGGAGGTGGAGAGCAAGTTGGAATGCCTTTGGCAAATTACAAGACTTCTTTAATGATCCCAAACTTCTCCCTGAAACTAAGATTTATGTTTTCATGTATTCTTGTGTTGTTGTGTGGTTCTGAGTCACGGAACATTAAAAGCCAGCAAGAATTAAAAGCCAATGCCACTCAGACATCAATGGAGAGGTCTGTGGTGGGTGTGAGTTGAATACACACACACAAAAAAAGAAATCATGAAGAACCAGAGTCATCAAAAATGTATGATAAAAAAGAGTGATATATAGGAACAGCAAGGAATCACAAATGTATCGCTCATATGCTCCATCAGTATTCACAGAAGGCAATGTGGGAGGACCCTTTGTCCAGACTAACAGGAGGATACGGACAAGCACTGCATATAATGAGCAGGTTTGTGAAGTTGTGATCAGCATCACTGAAGAAAATGTCCATATTGATGAGATCACAGATCCATCTAAGCTCTGAGTTCATACAATCACTGGGTGATAAATACCTACATTATCTACCTCATGGTAATTCTGAAAAGCTTTAAAAGAAATATCTGTAAAAGAGCAAGTGCCTCAGCAGAAGATGAATATGAAGTACTGAGTTCATTTGTGCTATTTTTTTAAAGTTTGGGGGAGATTATATGAATCAAAGATATTATAAACACATAAAATTCCAACTGCATTTTAAGTTACGACCACATTTACTCCAAGTACCTGAACATTTTTGCCCTTCATGTTATGGGAAAATCCATTCATTTATTAATTCCTTTGCCTCAGACATAACACCCTACTAGCTCCCTCAGTCAAGCTGATTTACTGTTCTAGGTTAGAAGCCTCAATTATCTTCTTTCAAGGCTCAATTTAGATGCATCTTCCCACATGAAGTCTTTCCCGATCTCCCCAGGTGTTAGTACTCTCTCTTCAATTATCCTTGCACTATTAGGCCCAAATGAGATAACATATGTAAGGCACTTTGCAAACTTTAAAGTGCTATATAAATGCTAGCTACTGCTAATTAAGTCATTAATATCTGCACATACATTATGTCCTCCCAGGAGAAAGTAAACTTATGGGGGGGGGTTATGGAGGAAATGTTTCATTTCTGTTTTTTGAGCCCCAAGAACAAGCAAAATGCCCCAGACCTAGTAAGCACTTAATAAATGTTCGCTAAATTAATAAGGACACAACCCTGAAGAAAGCCACAGATATCAATAGATTCCTAGCAATTAAATAAAAGTTGATCCAGATACTATGGAACATTCAGAAACATCCTTAGGCTTTCATCTATTCCAAGAGTTCTTGACTTTTTTGACCCCTTTGGAAGTATGCTGAAGTCTATGGACCCCTTCTCAGAATAATGATTTTAAATGTGCAAAATAAAATACATGGTTCTGCAAAGGAAACTAATTATATTGAAATGTAATTATAAAAATATTGTTAAAACAAGCACACAAGGGGCAGCTAGGTGGCACAGTGGATAGAGCACCCGTCCTGAAGTCAGGAGGACCTGAGTTCAAATCTGACCTCAGACCAAACACTTCACCCATACTAGCTGTGTGACCCTGGGCAAGTCACTTAACCCCAAGTGCCTAAAAAAAAAAAAACCAAGCACACAGACTCCCAAATTAAGAATCCCTGATATAGCCTGTAAGCCCTAGATTTCCAACCTCTGATTTACAAAGCTGGCAATTAGATGCAAAACAGTCCAGTCTTAGGTCATGGGTACAAAGCACCATGGGGAAGAAGTAGTTGTAGATACCAGGTACGCCACTACATTATCCTACAAAAGTCCCAGTTGGGACTTAAGGAACCCACGTACTTAAACAAGTTTGGAAAACAAGCCTCTTGCCCCCATAGATGATGGTCCACATCAAAGACATTGGTAGAATACAACTGAATTCAATTTAACTAACATTAGTTAATGAGAACAGCTAGCACTTACATAGTGCTGTAAGGTTTGCCAAGAGCTTTAAGTACGTTATCTTCTGGGAGACTAGTTACTACTGACTTGCTTGGAATCACACAGCCTGTGTCTGAGGCAGGATTCAAACCAGGCCTTCCTCATTCCCAGTCTAGCACTTTGTCCATAGCACTATCCAGCTGCCTTCACTTATGCTGTTTGATATTCAGTGCCCCTACCACTATTATACTAACTACATTTTTTTAAAATCACACATTTTGGAAATCTGTACAAATACAACAAAGAAAATACTGTATGTAGTCAAGGAGTTTTGTAATGAATGCACATCCTCTATAGTGTCCTGAAAGGCTTACCTTGACTGAAGCCAGCTGGACCAAATTCCATCAGGACATAGAGCTGAATCATGAGCTGTGGGGAGGCCTCCAGGTATATTTCAAATAGCCTGAGCATACTCAAGTCAGCCACTTCATTTATTACTTTTTGATGTGGGTCTTCTCTATTGGAGGTGGAGAAGTCTGTGGGGTCTTGTGTCAAGGCAGGCACACCAGAGAGGTCATTTGAGCTGCTGCATTGGAAAGCCAAACAGTATTCCTTTCTCAAAGCAAACCAATACCTGTAAATACACAAATATTATTATTATTATTATTATTATTATTATTATTATTATTATATCATTATTAATAATTAACATATGAAGTATTTGGACTATGGACTAAGAGAAGCCCTAGAGGTAAAAAGCCAAAATAAGAGATTAATCCAACTACTCCAAGAATAGCCCTAGAGAAAATATGGTTTCTCCACAAGTACTATAAGAGTGGGTAAAAGAAATAAAGCAAGAGATTTTAAAAAATGGAATTATAGAGTCTGGGAGGAAAAAAAAATCAAAGGAAAATAAACAGCTTAAAAGAGATGGTAGAAAAATCTACCTAAGTAGTGGATTCCCTGAAAAACAAAATGGCACACTATTTGGCTAAACTTTTTGAGAAGTACATCTACAATCAATGTTTCCACTTCCTTTCCTCTCACTCTCTTCTTAACTCTCTACAGTCTGGCTTGCAACCTCACCATTAAATCAAATCTGCTCTCTCCAAAGTTACTAGGAATCTCTTAAGTGCCAAATCTAATGGCTTTTTCTCAATCCTTATCCTTCTTGACTTCTCTGAAGCCTTTGATACTGTTGATCACTCTCTTCTTGACACTCCTCTCTAGGTTTTTAGGACATCATTCTCTCCTGGTTCTCCTCCCACCTATCAGATCACTCTTTCCCAGTCTCCTTTGCTAGATCATTATTCATCTCACTCCCATTAACTACAGGTATGCCACAAGGCTCTGTCCTGGTCTCTCTTCTCTTCTCCCTCTACATTTTTTCCACTTGTTGATCTCATCCATTCTCATTAATTCAATTATCACCTCTATGCTAATGATTCTCAGATCTATTTACCCAGTCCTAGACTCTCTGCTGACCTCCAGTCTATTAGACATCTCAAACCAGATGACATCTCTGGTAAATTCAACATGTCCAAAACTTAACCCATTATCTCTTCCCAAAAACTCTCCCCTCTTCCAAACTCTCCTATTCCTGACCTGGGCACTACCATCCTCCTAGTCAATCAGACTCACAACTTAAATGTCATCTTTAAAACATCTCTTCTATATGCTCCTTTCTCTCCTCTGACACTGCTACCATCCTGGTGCTGCCCTCCATCACCTCACACCTAGACTACTGTAATAGCCCACTGGTTGATCTCCTGCCACAAGTCTGTCCCCACTCCAGTCTATCTTCTTCTCAGCTATCAAAGTTTTAAAGCACAAGTCTGACCATATCACCCCCCACTCAGTAAATTCCAGTGGCTCCATATCACTTCCAGGATCAAATATAAAATCCTCTGCTATTCAAAGCCCTTCATAATCTGCCCCCTCCCCACCTTTCAAGTCCTCTTATACCTCATACCCTAACACAAAACTTTTTCAATCCAGCAAAGCTGGTCTCCTTGTTGTTCCATGAACAAGACGTTCCACCTTATGACTATGAGCATTTTCACCCCATGCCTAGAAGGCTCTCTCCCCTCATCTCTGCCTCCTAGCTTCCTTCAAAATCCAGCTAAAAGCCCATGTTCTACAGGAAGCCTTTCCCAATCCCTCTTAATTCTAGTTCTTTCTCTCTCTTAATTATATTTCCAATTTATCCTGTATATAGCTTGTCTGTAAATAGTTTTTGAATGTTGTCTCCCTCATTAGAGTCTAAACTCCTTGAGAGCAGTGACTGACTTTTACTTTTCTTTGTATCACTAATGCTCAGCACAGTGCCTAATACATAGTTGGTATTTAATAAATATTTAGTGACTGGCTATGAATCAGTGCTAATGCCTAAGCTATTGCTAGACTGTGAATCAATCCAGCAATTATGGAAGCAATTTGAAACTATACCCAAAGTCACTAAACTGTGTGTGCTTTTTGCCACAGAAATACCACTACTAGGCTATACCCCAAAAAGTTCAAGGAAAGAAGGAAAAGATATACAATACATTTACAGCAGCACTTTTTGCTCTCACAAAGAACTGGAAATTGGTGCCAACTGAGGAATGGCTGAACAAATTACGGCATTTGATGGAATATTACTGAGCTATAAAAAAATGATGAAAGGGACCGATTCCAGGAAACGTGGGAAGTCTTCTATAAACTGATACAGAGTGAAATGAGCAGAACCAGGAGAAATATTTATATAATAATCATACAACACACTACAAGATTATAAAGGAAAACAACTTTGAAAGATTTAAAAACTCCAATCAAAACAATGATCAATCACAATTCCAGAAGACTGATGATGCAGTATGCCTCCTACCTCTGGTAAACTGGTGATGGTCAATAGGTACAGAATAAGACATATATTCTCACACATTATCTATTAAACATACATTTTGTTTTGCTTGACTTATCTGTTTGACTTGTTTTTCCATATTCAATTCTTACAAGGAAGGACTTTTATTTGAGTGGGAGGGAAAGTTGTGGGATTAGGTACAAAAACAAAGAAAAACAGGATTGACAAAACATTTAAAATACACGGAAAAGAAAGCAGTTCATAAGGAGACAGACAAGTAGGGTAATAATATTCTAACTATCACATTAAAAAACAAGGTATAGTAAGTACACAGTTTCATATATGGCCTTATTTGTATTTGTAAATATTTCAATTTGTTGGTGATTTTCTAGATCACAGTAATTTTTTCTTCTTAAGAGGCAGTTAGATTTCATGGAGAACAGGCTATGCCAAGCTGTCAGGAGTCATAGTAAACTACCAAATCACTGTAATGCTCTAGCAGCAGCTTAGGCATTAGCAAAATATTTGATACAGGATTTCAGTAGCTGGAAGGATGAGGGGTAGGCAAGAGTAGGATGAGATGGATTCAGAATTGGTTGAATAGCTAGAGACTTACAGAGTGCTTATTAATAACTCAATGTCAATTTGTTTGGTTCAGTGGAGTGAGTACTTCAGCAGTCTGTGCTTGGCTCTGGACTGTTTGACATTCATGACCGAGAGAAAGGAAGATATGGCCTGTTTGTCTTATGCGCAGATGATGTGTGTTTGGGGTGGATCTGACTCAGGCTGGTACTCTATTGCGATAATCTGAACATTAGTCCAGGTTTAATGTTTGAATGAAATGAGGCACTTGTAATCCATTCAACGGTTAATAAAAGGAAGCTTTCCTAGTTGTAACTTTCAAAGGCTATTTAAACAGAGCCGGTCTTAACACTTAGCTTGAATAGATGAGTCTCCACTCATCTCCCTGTGGTTAGCAGAGCAGGGTATAGTAACTCTTATGGTCTTGGAATATCTGCCAAGTATAAAAGGTTCTTTTTATACTTGTTGAGGGAGACCCAGCTTGAGAATTAGCCCCCTGGGTTAATGAAGTTAAAGGCTTTGTTGCCTTTCAGAGAAAAATAGCCTAATATACTTAGGAGAAGGGGTTAGAATATTGTTCTCACCACAACATGAAACTAGGAAGGATAATCAATCAACCAATCAATAAACATTTATTAAGTACCTACTATGTGCCAGATACTGTGCTAAGTGCTAGAGATACCAAAAAAAAAAAAGGAGAGGGCAAAAGAAAGTCCCTGCCCTCAAGGAGCTTACAATCTAATAGAGCAGACAACATGCAAACAAATATATACAAAGCAAGCTATATACAGAATAAATAGAAAATAATTAACAAACAGAAGGAAACACTAAAATTAATAGGGGTACCAACACACTGGATCAAAAGGTAAGGATCTAAAAGGATTTTGACATGTTAGAGTCTAATGAGGTGAAATTCACTAGGGAACAATGTAAAGTCTTATACTTGGGTACAAGAAATCAGTCTCATAAGTACAAGATAAGAGAAGCATGGGCTAGTAGCAGCTTGCATGAAAAAGACCTGGGAACTTTAGTGAGCTGCTCTACGTGAACTAAGAGCGTGATAGGGCAATCAAAAAAACGCTAATATAATCTTATACTGCAATAAGAAATGCACAGGATGCAAGAATAAAAGGATTACAGTCCCTAAACACTCTGCCCTAGTCAGACCATATTTAAATATTATATTCAGTTCTGGATGTCATAGTTTAAGAAGGCTATTGATAACCAGTTGATTACACAGGGGAGGGTAATCATGGCGGTGATGGGCCTTGAATCCAAGCCAAAGGAGCATCAGTAGAAGGAAGTGGGAATACTGGAGAAGAAAAGGTTCAGGAGGGCATGAAGGCTATGGCAAAAGTATTAGACTTATTTTGTTTGACCCTGGAGGACAGGAAGGCAAGAAACAAACATTTATTAGGCACCACTGTGTGCCAAGCACTATGCTAAGAGCTTTACAAATAATGGATGCAAACTGGAAAGACAGAAATTTGGTTATGATATCAGGAAAAACTTGTGAACAATTAGAGCTGCTAATAGAACCATGAGATTGTGACAAGCTAGAAAGAAATGTCAGGATCACATCCCCTTCTACTTTGAACAGCAGAGAGACAAGATTGGATTTGTGGAAAAGAGGCCTCCACAAGACGGAGGAAATACACACTTATTAAGTTCTGGGCACTGTGCTAAGCTCTTTACAAATATTATGTCATTTGATCCTCACAACAACCATGGGAGGCAGGTGCTATTATTATCCTCATTTTACAGTTAGGGAAACTGAAGCAGGTAGAGGTTAAGTGACCTGCCCAGGGTCACACAGCTAAGAGTGCGAGGCCAAATTTGAACTCAGGTCTTTCTGACTCCAGGCCCAGCAGTCTATCCACTGTACCACCTAGCTGCCTTTCATACTGCAAGTATGGAGTGTTCTTGTACTGCCAGCAACACGGGAAATTTATATGTCATTTATGTAATCTACATAAAATTACATATAATTAAACATAAATATAACTTTATATGAAGTTAAATATAAATATATAATATAAATTAATGTTTAATAATAAATATAAAGTAAATCTGATATTAATATTATAAATAAAATTACATAAAATTTACATATATTTTATATTTATATATCATACCTTTGGAACTAATGGCTGCTTATTCATGATTTGTATCTCATTTTCTTTCTTTTAATAACACTTTCCTTTGAAATA